CCCCCCCCCCCCCCCCCCCCCAACCACAAAAAAACAAAAACAAAAAATTTAGAACCATATTATCTAGTTATTTTCAAAATGTTAAATTTGTTATGCAGAAATTGAGCTTTCGTTGGCAGTTAATTTCTTGTGTCTTGCACCATGGTTGTTTTCTCTTGGATCATCCTATTTTGTTCTAACATATTACAGAATGCTGCTGGTTTAGAAGCTATTCTCTAGATTTAAACAAAAAGTTCATGCAAGATAATCTATAGATGAATAGTTTTCCCATGACCTTGAACTGGTGGCCTAATTTGGAAATAGCCGTAACTAGGGAGTTTTGTGTATTCTTGACAAAACATGAGCTATTAGCTATTAACATGCTAAAAGCCTTACAAGATTCTCAAAGACAGTGAGTATCTCAGCTGAAGGATACTAGTGCCCTAAACCTATATTGTGATTTATTTTTTGCAGTTATTAGTATTCATAGTTCAAGTGCTGATGCTGGAGTTGATTCTAGGAGCACGAAATTTGGGGGTCGTGTTAAGTTAAGCTAGATATCTAGAGGATTCCAATCTTTAAAGATTGTATATTAAGTCTCAACAATAAGGAAGCAGAAGCATTCGGGTTTTGTGTATAAGCTTTTCCCTCTCTGGTATGCCTGAGCTTAAACTGTGAGAACATAATTATAGATCTACATATCTGCGAAGAAATCCATGACATATTGTATTAGGATGCAGATAGCTATCTTAGCCTGGACTGATATTGATGCATGGTTGACTTTTCTTAGTTGGTCATAACAACATGGTTAATTCATCCTGGCAAATTGGAGCTTTTCCCCATATTACTATTTATTTTGATGCGAAAAGGCGTGACTGGCGGTAAAGATTCATATTTTCGCTGACTACCACATACCATCTTCTAGGCTGATATCTTCGGCCTCTTACTTTACTCAACCTGCTAATTTTTACTGCATTAAGGAATACTGCCATTTCATTTGTTTCTACATTTTGCTGGACGTGAAGGTGTTAATAGTTACCGCCGTCATGTAGGTAATGGAAGGGGCATCTGTAGTCACCTAAACTAAGCTATTCATTTTTCCTGTTTACGTTTTTCATAGTCTTCCTTTTCATTCAAATGATGGCTATGAAAATACAAATATTCTTGCTAGCAGCAAGTGTTCCATGTTCAGCTTAATTCATATGGTCTCCACATGAGAACACTGTAATGATATTTAACTATAACCTTTGTTTATAGGATAGAGCTTTAATTGAAGAACAAATTTTCAAAGAATTCTGGGAACGGGATGTCGAGGAATCAGTACGTCAGGGTGATTCAAAACCATTCGTGGAGGAAGCTGTGCTACAAGTATCAGACTGGGGTTTCAATCTCGCTGACCTTCAGGTGCAGAAAAAGCACGAGGGCCGAGGCCTACTTCTCTGGCTCAAATCTCTCTTCAGCCAGTCTGAAAAAGAGTGGGCAGGATTTCTCGGCCCGATACACATTTGGCAGGTCTGTTTTCATTTTGCCTTGCCATTATGCTCGTCCTTGTCTTGTATGTGTAAAGATATTGGCATGAAATAATTCATAATAAATTCTCAGGGAATGGATGATAGAGTGGTTCCACCATCTATGACTGAGTATGTACGAAGAGTTGTTCCAGGTGCTACAGTTCATAGATTGCTTGACGAAGGGCACTTCTCCTTTTTCTGTTTCTGCGATGAATGCCACAGGCAGGTATTCTCTACTCTTTTTGGTATCCCTCAAGGTCCACTTCCTGAAATTTTGGAGGAGCCAGAGCCAGAGCCAGAACCAATACTATCACCCTCCGAGGAATTCTTCGAAGAATTGACATCACAGGAATCAGTAGATAACAGCACATTGGAAGAGTGAAAACATCCCAATTCTTTTGTTTTGGCCCATGTCGATCTTTTGAAAAGGAATGTGTAGATAATACAGTAGCTCTAAGTTTTTAACCCGTTTTGTAGAGTAACATATCGTTTCATTTCTTTTGCTGCGAGAAGAACCACGGAAAGCATCTACTTTGTTGTTTTACATTGATCTCTAGAAGATCGTTTACATGGCAGATCCTACTAAATGGTGGTCAACACTGATGATACCATGAGAAATACTGAGGTCACAGTTGATAGTGTGCGGTGCAACCTTGTAATGTTTTGCTCTGTACCATGATACTTTTTAAGATATCAGATGACAATAAATCATCGGCTCAAAGTGAGTTTTTACTGATGGATTAGTTGGAAACTGGATTGCCTGAGACAGTGGTGACATCTGAACTTGTATGCTTGTTGAGGTGAAGGAGAATCTTAACAGCACTAATATTTTGCGAATCGTTTATCCAAAAGAAAATGTTAGCTCTGATGTTGATCAAACACTGCCTTCTTCTGTGTTGTACTAAATTTCTACTCGTAACGATTATCGCCTCCAGAAAAAATGTTGACCACAAACACCATGTACGATTATTTTGACAGTATAAATCGGTGCAAAGCGCAAAAAAGAGGCGTACTTGCGTGAAGCTCGCTGGTGGCATCGTGAAAGAAATATAATCATACAACAAACGCCTAAATATCACTATAGCGGTTTCGATTTCCACCGATACAAACACCAAAATTGCGGCAAATCAGGCAAAACAAATAAGCCAAGAAGCTCTCTTCATAGTGCGCTATTCAGATAGTTAGCTACTGGAGCATCATTTCATACATCGCAATGATATACCAAATAATTGCTCGGCGGAACAGTCAACAATGTCTACTGAAACACATTTTACTATCATAATGAACAAAACACTTGAAATGATGAAGACATGGAGCATGTTACTTATTCTTCGAACAAAAGTAACGATTACGTCCCAGAGTGGAATTGTTTAGCAAGCTCACCCGCATTTTATAATTAACTAGGACATATCTCAACATAACATACATTCGCCATCCTACTCGAACCTAAACAAGCAGCTAGATGCCAACCTCTACAGCTTTTCAGCCAGGAAATAAACTTTCATCAGCATACAACCAAAGGCACACGACTATTTTATTCTATGAGGCGAATCCTATTTATGCAACAACCAAAATGAAATTAAGGCAACATATAACTCCTGCTCTTTTACAGATTCTTGAATGCAGATTCATGAGCTGACTTCTGAGGAGTCAACAAGGCCAACAGATTCTTATCATGGCAGTGCTCAGCATCAACAAAATAGAAGTTACCATCAGCCTTAAAGCTCACAAACGGCCGATTTGTCTCTGGCGGCCTAACATCCGAGAACTTGATCGTCTTGGGGATCGACGTAGCCAACCATGACAGCATTTCAACATCAAAAGTCGCTGAACCTGGTTTCCATTTTAGCTTGTGAATATATGGACTCACAAACCAGTGAAGAGCTGCAGTTGTGGATGCGCTGAGGAAAATAACGGTGGACGCAACTGCTCCTTTCAGGATTACATTCATGTCAGGTGAAGTCATGAAAGTTATGACGGGTCCAAGGGAAACCGAAAGGCAGCAAGTTGAGAGGGACAGAAGTTTCACTTTTTTTACGGTTGATGAGATCGGTCCGTAGTATACAACCCCAGATTCTTTACTGTCTTTATCAAGTTCTCCGCTCTTTGGTCCAATTGTTATCTTGCTGTCATCTCCCATGGATTTGGCTACCGCTGCTTGTGAAGCTCTCTTCTGAGCAGAAGTGCACATGGGAGAGGTGAAGTTGACTCTGAATGGAGAAGTATTAAAAGTGGAGTAATGGTTTCGTGCTCCATCTTTCGAAAGCTGAATACCTATTCAACAGGAAGGACAAAGTAAGTGTATAATAATTAAAAAATTAGGCTCTGGTTATAACCTCACACTCACAGCTCTACGTCTCTCCTGAATGTTGCTACAGGGTAAGAGAAAGTAAGCATAATTTATTCAGAGACAAAACAGTAAATGGAACAGAAGAAAGTTCCTTGTCGTTAAACATCGATGAACCAATGCCTTGAAGGAAATGGTTTCTTATACTCATTAAACCTCTGTCAAGGGAAGCAGCGAAAAGCAACCGAAAAAATGTTTTCTTCTGTATTGATTATTTTAAGAACTGAAGATAAATACAACAGGAAATTTGATTCAGCTAACTAGATATGTCTGCAGTTGACGTTGTTTAAAATAAATTAGAAAGAATGGTCTTTCATTCCATATTCATTTATTGTTAAAGAATAACAGACGTGGATGTAAATGTGGTTGAAAAAGACATTATATGTGCGTTTTCTCTATCAAGCAATTGCACGTGCAAACAATCATAAATCACTATACATAAGTTAACAAAATCAAATATTACTAGAATTCAAAGGTTAGAAAGGGGAAAAACCCATTGAATTAGTTTTAGCCCCCCAGTAAAAGTGGAATCTACAGTACTGTCCAGGAGTGAGACCTATGATGGATAACTGTAAATGCCGAACAATGCGGACATGCACACTACGGTACTCATATGCATACCCAAATATGAGTTTACTTTTTTGCATCTCTAGTTGCTGATACAAAATCTAACGTATATTTGGCTGCTGAAACTATAAACGCATGCGGGTTAGACATTAAAAAGTTGAGGATCATGGAATTCCATGTTGGATTTCACAGTTTGAGATGCTGAATCTGATTAAACTTCAAACCATCTTGATTTTTCAGATGTATCTCAAAAAAAAAAAAAAATCCTTTCGTTCTATTTAAGTCATTGCATACTGTATGAAGCCTCTTTCGTAAATCCTAGAATGGAGTTCCACTCATTTTCTGAGTTTTACTTAGTATAAAACATGAGCACTATATTGCTATACCATCAATCACAACAAAACAAATAATGAAATTTATCCCAAATCTTTCAAATATATACTCTGATCTGAACTAGTAATTGGTACTTCTGTGAATTTTTTGGTTTTTCGTCTTCAAAGCTTTAAAATGGATCATTTTGCGCAGATAATGACCACCAATTTGAGATCTCACTACCAATCAAGGTTCCTTCCAACTAATTTATATGAATTCATCCCATGCTATGAGAAGAAACAAGGAGTTTCACTCGATCTACAACATAGCTTCAGATCAACACAGCAACTGATACTCTACAAAATCTTGTTAGCAAACAAATAAAGAGAAACAAAGATGAACTTTCTAAGCAAAGAAAAGGAAGGAGACGGACCTGATTGCAAAATTCCCGGTGCTGTAATCGCCTGTTGAGATTGAGACTGAAGAAGAAGGAAGCGATAGATTGATGAAGAGGATGCTTGCAGCCTCCTCGTCGCCATCTTCAGTTGAGCTAAGCTGAGGTTTTGATTCTTTCGTCTCTCCTCTCCTTCTGTTCTTTCTAGGGTTTGGACTCCTCCCACTGGTCTGGGTTTGGGATTCGTGGGCTGGGCCTTAAACGGTTGGGCTTTCATGTGTTGGGACAATTATCAAGTAAACCCCCACAACTTTCAAACTATCAGAAAACCCCAAATTCCATCCATTTTTCCTCGCACAGAACCAAAAACGTGCCCCCCCTAATTCAAGCTCGAACAACGACAGCCCAGACCCCCATCATCCTCTTCCCCCCAAAAACCCATGCCCAAACCCTAACCCTAGAAATCGCCATGACTGCCTCAATCTCCACCGATCTCTACCCCTCACAAGAGGACCTCCTCTACGAAGAAGAGCTACTCCGCAACCAGTTCAGCCTCAAGCTGTGGTGGCGCTATCTCATCGCCAAATCCCACGCTCCCTTCGCCAAGCGCTCTCTCCTCTACGAGCGCGCTCTCAGAGCTCTCCCTGGATCCTACAAGCTCTGGCACGCTTATCTCCGCGAGCGCCTCGATGTCGTCCGCAATCTCCCGATCTCTCACTCAGCCTACTCCTCCCTCAACAACACCTTCGAGAGAGCCCTCGTAACGATGCACAAGATGCCTCGGATCTGGATCATGTATCTCCAAACCCTAACTGATCAACGGCTCATCACTCGAGCTCGGAGAACCTTTGATCGGGCCCTTCGAGCGCTGCCGATCACTCAGCATGACCGGATCTGGGCGCCGTACCTTGCCCTGGTTTCTCTCGATGGAGTCCCGGTGGAGACCTCTCTGAGAGTTTACCGAAGGTACTTGCTTTTCGATCCTTCGCATATTGAAGATTTTATAGAGTTTCTGTTGAATTCTGGCCGGTGGCAAGAGGCGGCGGAGAGGTTGGCTTCGGTTTTGAATAGTGATGAGTTTTATTCTATTAAAGGGAAGACAAAGCATCAGCTTTGGCTGGAGTTGTGCGAGCTTTTGACGAAACATGCTACTGAGGTTTCGGGGTTGAAGGTGGATGCTATAATCAGGGGAGGGATAAGGAAGTATACGAATGAAGTTGGGAGGCTGTGGACTTCGCTGGCGGATTATTATGTGAGGAGAGGGCTTTATGAGAAGGCAAGAGATATTTTTGAGGAGGGGTTGCAGACAGTGCTGACGGTTAGGGATTTTAGTGTGATTTTTGAGTCATACGCGCAGTTTGAGCAGAGTGCGTTAGCGGCAAAATTGGAGACGGCGGGGGAGGATGAAGATGAGGAAGACGAGTTGGCAAACAAGTTCTTGAAGGGGTTCTGGTTGAATGATGATGATGATGCAGATTTGAGACTTGCACGGTTTGAGAATTTGTTTGATCGGAGGCCGGAGTTGCTGAATTCTGTGCTTTTGAGGCAGAATCCTCACAATGTAGAGCAATGGCATAGGTAAACTCTCCATGGTAGTCTTAGTTTAGATTCCATTGTCTATGCTGCATGTTCAGTACTGCTGAATTCTCCATTGCTACAGTTATCTTTTCTGTTATTTGCTAATTTATTGAGCTTCAAAACACTTAATTTACAGAATATATGTTTGTGCTATCCTTTTTTTTAATTAAATTTTCTAGATTGTAGAAAAATTTGGTAGCTGCTAGTCTAGTGTCTTTCCTTGCTTTGAAACCGTGTCTTATGCATTTATTGAGATTGATGGGTAACAATCAGACTATAGGACAAGAAATTAGCATGTTTAAAAAAAAGTTAGAGGTTTGCTTCAATAAGGACATCATGTAAGAGATTTGTTTTCAGTAGTCCGTATATTTGTAAACTAGACAAATGTGCTCCCTAGTTAAGAGGAGTGATGGGAACTTGGTCCATGAGGCCCCAAACTGAGGGTAAATGTAAGCAACACCTGTTGAGGCAATTAAAAAAGAAGATATGCTAATTGTTGAGGCAGTAAGAAGAGGATATTCTAATTGTTGGCTAATAGAATGCATGACATTTATTCTAGCTAAAGTAATGTTCTGAATTGGTGAGCCCCTAAAAGTTTAATATGTTTTGTTATTAAGTTTTATTGTTAAACATATTTGTGTAGATTATGTTGGGTTTTCATTATAACATGTGCAGAACTTACTCTTAACAAAACTCTATTTGTTGTAATCCTTTAATTCTGGCAATGCAGACGGGTGAAACTATTTGAGGGCAATCCTGCCAGGCAGATAACAACTTTTGCTCAGGCAGTGCAAACTGTGGATCCCATGAAGGCAGTGGGAAAGCCTCACACCCTGTGGGTTGCTTTTGCACGGCTGTATGAGAATCATAAAGATCTCATGAATGCTAGAGCAATTTTTGACAAGGCAGTGCAAGTTAATTATAAAACAGTTGATAATCTTGCAAGCGTTTGGTGTGAATGGGCAGAAATGGAACTTAGGTACAAGAATTTTAAGGGAGCATTGGACCTGATGAGACGGGCTACTGCAGAACCTTCAGTTGAGGTGAGACGAAGAATTGCTGTTGATGGAAATGAACCAGTACAGATGAAGCTGCACAAATCTCTACGGCTATGGAGCTTTTATGTTGACTTGGAGGAAAGCTTAGGAACATTGGAATCCACTCGTGCTGTTTATGAGAGAATTCTTGATCTGAGAATAGCAACTCCGCAGATCATACTTAATTATGCTTTTCTTCTTGAGGTATAATCTTCATTACCTTTTTTCTCCTGAAGGTCATATTTCATGCTCCAAATACTATGACACGCTCAATACTGACTTGCTGAGTTCTTGTTATCTTCTGGCTTTTATAGGAGCATAAGTACTTTGAGGATGCATTTAAGGTGTATGAGAGAGGTGTAAAGATATTTAAGTATCCTCATGTTAAAGATATATGGGTCACTTACCTCTCCAAGTTCGTCAAAAGATATGGGAAGGCAAAGTTAGAGCGTGCTAGAGAGCTATTTGAACATGCAGTTGAAAAGGTATGCTCCTGTTTCAATCCATTCTCTAATTCTCTCTCTGCAAAATGACACTGTTTACCTTTTTTTAATATTAAATTTCTTACTGTTGCACCATGTAGTAAAGTAGTTTATACATTTCATTTTCTTTTAAGCGGATTTTGCCAAATCTTGGCAATTAAAGCTGTGAGATAATAGTATTTTCATCTATGGTTGACTCTTCAGTTTTGCTAGATTGCTTGCAAATGGCTTTTTGTGGTAGAAGGTTCCCCTCTAATCGTCCTTGTGTGGGCTAATCTGCTTATCTTTTCGTTTCATGGGGAACTATTATTTGTTAGACAATATTTTGTAAAGTTGACACACAAAATCTAGATTAATTTTTCTAGCGGAACTTTTTTTGCTTGGAACTGATGCTTACGTTTCTCTCTTGCTAACGATATACTCCTAGCTGCCAAATTGAACAGATGGTGCAAATCTCTAAAATTGATTGGACTGTTATGTTAACTGTTGTGCAAATTTCTTGCTAACGTTACACTTCATGTACTTCTCTCTGAAAAGCAGCTAAGCCATGACTAAGAAGGCCGTTGTGTAAGCTGTCTAGGACATATTTTATGATTAAAGCAGTAATGTATCTATACATAATTACATGTATTTACTGAGACTTAGTATAGTGTTTACTGAATTTTTAGTTCTGCCTGTCCCCACCAATGAGTTTTAACACCATTCTCTTGTTTTAATACCATAAATGCACAGCTGGAGTTTTAAGGACCAGATCTCTGATTTCTCTTATGTCTGTCTGACTTATAGTGTCATATAATATTCAAATCTTTCTTTATTACTTCCGAAAAGTTGCATCTGATTTCTTAATCTGCACATATGATGCAAATCTCTAAAATTGTGTGAACTGTTGTGCAAATCTCTTACTAACAATTTACTTGGCGTTACTTCTCTTTGAAAAGCAGCTAAGCCATCACTAATAAGAATACTGCTGAGCAAACTGTCCAGGATATGCATTTTATGATCAAAACAGTAATGTATCTCTATATAATTATGTGTTTTTACTGAGATTTAATATAGTGTTTGCTGAATTTTTAGTTTTGCCTAACCCCACCGATGAGTTTCGACACCATTTCTCTTGTTCTAATACTTAAAATGTGCAACTCTGCTGTGGAGTTTTAAGGACCAGATCTGTGATTCCTTTCATTACAAGCACATTTGTCCGACTTCTGGTGTCATATTTACATTCAAATCCTTCTTTGTCACTTTTGAAAAATTGGGTCTGATTTCTTAAACATGAACCTCACTCCCTATGCTCATTGTTTCCTCCCTTTACATTTAATGAAAATAGTATTTATCATTGTTTATGTGTCCTCTTCCTACAATTTTGAATCTCCTTGAGTCGGTCAAAACAAGCACTAACTTTCTTACTATTGTCAGGAAGCAGTTTCGTCCATAGGCTGTGGTCTTATATTAAATTTTTGATAGACCAATAGTCACATTTCATTCAGTCCTGTCCTTCAGGCACAGCTCCATGTGAAGCCACTGTCATATATGATCCTGAATGCCCAGTAGAGATAAGGGAGCATAATTATTAGATATACATCTGTTCCATCACACCAGGACAGTGATCAGTGGACGGTGCTCCGTAACAAAGGACCTACATAAGGAAGCATGCACTAGATAGTGAGCACCTTGTACAATCAGACCACACATACTGAAACACCAATCGAACAGTAACTATGTCTTATCATCTTACAATGAAGGCTACTACCATCTAACCCTTGAATGTGTAACCCATATGTATACAAATACTCTCGCTCTTAAAAACAAAGGAAATGCAGATCATCGACTGTTTAATTTCATACAAGTAAAATGTGTAATTCATTATGAGAATAAATGGAAGTGAAGGATGGTTACAACCATTTGCCATTTGCCAAAGGTCTACCATCTTATAGCCAGGTATTACGTAGGTAAATACCTAGGTAGCTGGATAAATAGATTGCTTGACATCAAATACCTTGAGGTTTACAGATCATCCTGATGAGGAAGCTGCAAACAGATGTATAGTTTAAACTGACTGCTTTAGATGTCATCATTGAATTGATATCTTGTAAAATTGTATAACCAGATTCTTAACTTCATATATAGCAACCAGTAAAGATGAGGCTAAGCTTACACTATAACGTGATGATCCAGTATGTATGGAAACTTATATTGTGGAGTCATGTTGTGTTGGCACCATATTAGGCACAACACTTCTTGCGATACTGTGGTTTTAACTGTTGGCTTTCAGCTTTATATCCGTGTACCATGTTGTATCTTGTTCATGTCAGGGTATACATTCCATCAACATAGCTGATATCTTCCTTGTGAAGTCCTAGTACAAACTGTCAATGGATGCTGTAACTAATTGAAAGTCCCACTATGATCAAACCGTTTCTGCAAGGTAGGACTTCAATGTATCTTGAATTGATGTGGCATGGTATCTGTGACTATGACTGGGCAAATTCAGCTCCTTCATTATCTTCTTCCTCATTCTGTTCTCTCTTTTTTCTTCTTTTCCTCCTGTTCCTTATCCTTTCTTCTTCTTGTGCACCTTAGACTGCGGCAGAAGTATCAACGACCAACCGCAAAAAATTGCCAAGGTACTGCTTCGTAAACATCGCACAATACCTTAGATGCCCCCTTTACAACTCCCCACTGAATTGCCAGTTAGAACCTTAAGAAGATTGAGAGCTGTCATGGGTACATTTTTTTGAAAGGACCCTTGTGGTATCTGCCATTATTCCTCATCTTCAAACCCTAACCATTTATAAATAGAAGCAAATAAGATAAAATTAAACTCCTAGAGCTGCTATCAAAACACTTTTCAAGCATAGCTACATGTTGTTCCTGAATTCCCTTAAAAGTCAAGGGATGGGGGGCTTATGAAGCCATGCAGATACACCAACTATTTTTGGTGTTCAAAATTTTAGTTTCCAGGCTGTCCCTGTAGTTGAAACGCTAGGAATTGATGAAAGTCGATGCTATTGCTTCTTAAGGAGGGTTTTGTGAGCATGTTCTTATTTCTGGCGTGCACGTGCGTGCATGTTTGGTATAAGGGTCGTAGGATTTAGAGAGGGAAGGAAAGAGAGGTGACCACCACCAAGTTTTTACTTGAATTTCAGTTGACATACATAGTGTTCTCTGAAGGGAAATTTTAGATTACACGATGACAAGATGGAACTTGATTTATTTAGAGGGAATTTCCTTTCAAGATTCAGATCATTAATAAATCCATAGTGACTTTATTGTGTAGATTTGCTCCCAAAGTATATAATATGGTCTATGAATTCGGTAATTGATTGTGGTGATCTTAGTTTAGGAAATAAAATGGGAGGTTGTTATGAAATAAATAGAAATATTTTCACATTCCAAAACTAATCTGTTTTGCTTGTGTACTTCTCAACACACTCAAGTTCTGTCTGCTAGTTACTTAGTTACCCTCCTCTCTATTGCGTCAAAATCAACAGCAGCTGCAGCAATAAAACCAACTGATTAGGCCATCCTTATTACTCCGGTTCCCCTCCTGAGTTCTATCAGTTTATTGTACCCTCTCTAAGCCTGTCTGACAAAGCAGACATAAAATCTTTTTCTACTAGTCATTGGGGTTGAATATCTACTGCTCTATTATTGCCAGGTCTAATATTTACTCAATTAATGTTTTCTTGCCATTATGTTGTATTTGTGACCTCAAAGATTCATGATGCTAAACTGTTTTGTTTTTGGACTTTGTACAGGCGCCTGCAGAAGATGTGAAGCCAATATATCTTCAATATGCTAAACTCGAGGAAGAATATGGGCTTGCAAAGAGGGCAATGAAAGTCTATGATCAAGCTGTCAAAGCTGTTCCAAACAGTGAAAAATTGAATATGTATGACATTTACATTGCCAGGGCTGCTGAGATTTTTGGTGTTCCCAAAACCAGAGAGATTTATGAGGTTAGTATTCTTTTTAAGATCTAGTGACTATTTTATTTCTGGTGCAACTCAAAAAGCACATGATGATATGCTTAGTGGAATGGCATCTCTATTTGCTTTCATGGGTTTACAAGATTTAAGGGGGGTTTTTGGGCTATATGAAAATTGTCTTTGATGGGTTAATTAAAGATTGTTCCTGACTTTGTGCGTTATTTATATATATTACAGCAAGCTATTGAGTCTGGTCTCCCAGACAAAGATGTAAAAACAATGTGCATGAAGTATGCTGAACTTGAAAGGAGCCTAGGAGAAATTGATCGTTCTCGTGCCATATATGTATTTGCATCACAATTTGCAGACCCCCGATCTGATCCCAGTTTCTGGAAGAAATGGAATGATTTTGAGGTTCAGCATGGCAATGAAGATACATTCAGAGAAATGCTTCGGATCAAGCGAAGTGTATTAGCTAGCTTCAGCCAGGTATATAGCAATGGCAACTGTTCCCATGTTGGATATGACTATAAATTATGGATTTAGCGTAATATTCGTTATTCATCTGTTTTAATTTTGTCATTTGCAGACACATTTGATTCTTCCGGAGAACTTGATGCAAAAGGATCAGAAGTTGAATCTTGAGGAAGCTGTGGACACTCTGAAGCGTGCAGGGGTCCCTGAGGACGAAATGGCTGCTTTAGAAAGGCAACTGGCCCCTTCATCTGCTAGCTTGCCTTCTAGTGATGTTGGTAGAAAGATGAATTTTGTCAGCGCCGGGACAATAGAGTCAAAGCCTGATAGTATGAAAAAAGTTGCAAATAGTGAGGATATTGAACTTCCTGAAGATAGCGACTCTGATGAAGATAAAGTTGACATTGCACAGAAGGAAGTACCTGCTGCAGTGTTTGGTGAGCTAGCATCTAAAGCTACAGAAAATCAGACTAAAGATGGTAATGCTGAAGAGAAAGGCAACGGTCACTTAGGAGCTCTAGAAAGAATTAAGAGGCTACGTCGGCAATAGAAGTTGAGGATATTTATACCAATCTGGGTGTCATTCGAACGAAAGGCACCAGGGCTCTCTGCAGTTAAAATTATGGGGGAGAAAGATTAATGGTTAGTACTGCCATTTGGTTGTGATGCAAGTCCATTTGAGTTGTGAACCACAGAAACCCCCATGAACCCTGGTGCATATAATGCTACTGGAGTGATATTATTACTGAAAAATGTCTGTCAAACCGTCACGTACAACATGAATTTTTGTTTCCAGCTCTTCATATTCGCAGCGAACTTCATGGATTGCACAAAGGTGGGGAAATTTTTAATTTCTGTACAATGCTAGTGTAGTTTGGGCCTTACGATCAATATGTGACCTGTTCAAATCTGTTGTGAATTGAGAATGTTCTTATGCTTACGCAATTTGCATGTAAGAGTTCCAGATGATGTTCATAATGATTGGGTATGCTACATGCTATTTCTATTATTTAACTGGTTATACTTCAGTTACAGCATGAACGTGTTGCATAATTATTCTATGTGATTCTTATATAGGTATACGGTGATTCTCAAATTACAACAAACATTATGCCACAAAATATACAAGGCTTTCAGCAAACCGTAGCAAAACAGAAATCAGATACATTTTTAGTTAAAGACTGTTGCATACGCTTGAATCAAATATAACTTCAGACAAATACACATAAAGTGAAAAACTCCAAATACAGCACACGAACGCCGAATTACCAGGGTAAGGATTTGTAGTAGCAAATATACTAGGTTCAATTTCTTCCAACTGTTATTTTCTTTGGAGAAAATAGTTTATCGTTTTAGATGTTGACTAGCAGCCACAACTACCTCAAATAGGTCTTTGTAATATGAAAAACAAAGATAAACTAGAGGATTTTTATCTACTAATTTTTTTAGAAAGGGTAAATTTCACAAATTCCCCCAAGGAGTTTAGGCCGTTTTGAGATAACTCCAAAAGTTTGGAAGTGATAATTTAACCCCCAAAGCTTAATCAGAAAATCACAGGCCAAAAATAAATTCAGAAAAATGCAAAAGTCTTACTGGTAATGAAGCAAATTTACCCAAAAAATCACGAAAAAAGGCCACAGCCTAGATTTGAACTGACATCAGTGTTGAATTACCTGAGATTGTCCATAAGCACTTGACGCCTTGCACGATCAAAACCAGTAGAATCAACCATCACAATATTTTTTTAAAAAAAAAAGCTTCAAAAGCTTAGTACATAGGTTTAACATGATGTTGTGCTAACTACATGTTGAAAAACTCTGTAGCGGTCAAAACAGTGATATAAAGATCAGTAGGTGCACACAATACAACATCACACATGCTGTGATCTGAAATGGTAAATCAAATCAGACGATAATCAGTTTAATTATCTGTGTGCAGATTCTAGTTACAACACACACTCTCCCGAAGGAACAGAAGGGGCGGAGATGCAAATTGACGATATATAAGCAGCTTACAATAAACATCATACAACAAAAGATAGTCATACAAGGTTTTCAGAAACCATTGCAAAGTAATAACGAGATACAGTCTTAGTCAAGCCTATAAAATAAGCTTGATGCAAACATAGGAGTTTAGATGATACCGAATACAAGTTGTCCCGTCGTTCAGGAAAACAAGTTATTAAAACATAAGAATGAGACCCAACTGCTAAGATGTGACTAGCAGGATGAGTCACACTATGCTATCTCTTAACAGCTTGTTTAGCAAAATGAGTTGCCCCCTCATATCAAACTTTACAAATGTCCATTTCCTAAAGAGTTGATTGGTGAAAGAATTTATTACATGCCACCACGACCCATCCTCTGCTCGGTGGGCGGCACCATAACCATGAGAGATCGAGCATTAAAGCCAGGGTGAGGCATCCTGCGACGAAGCTCACGCCCTTCCTGACAAAGAGAGCACGGGTGGCAGAAGAAATGAGTAGCAAAATCACAAGCTGATTCCATCTGCTCAAGCTTTGCTTCATCTTGTATGATGCTGGAGCACAATCCACATGATCTCGCCAGTGCCTCACAAGTTCCCTGGAGAATTATAGCAAAACCAAGAGAAATTCAAGGAGTTGGTAAAATAACGGAATGAATAATCAACCATTTGCTTTGTACAGGCTTAAATATGAGGGTCAAAATTTTTTTTTTTTAACGTTCAAGGATAAGTTTGTGCCACATTACCACCGCTCCTCCCCTCCGGCCCCTCCCCCAAACGAGCCTCCTTATCTCTTCTTAAGGGGAACCTCCATTGTGGGAGAGAGGTTAGGTTGACCTTATATGTTGCTTATAAAATGAAAATGACACTAAATCAAGGGGTTTTTTCCTCTCAAGGACATTTTAGTTATTTTCCAATTACAAGTAGCAGGGTCCGTTTACAGACACCATGAAGTTCAGGGAGTTTGTGAGACAAAACAAGTTCATGGGAGTTATGTCCAGAGCCCTCCAAAGTACCCTTTTTTGGGGGTTTTCCCTTTTCTTTTTTTTTCTTTTTTTTTTGGTGGGTTTGGGAGGGGGGGGGAGGATGCAAGGGTGGAGGAGGAAGGTGGTTTGAACTTTACCCTGAAAATGACTTTCAAGAAAATCTATGATTGTTAATCAGTGATTTCTTTCTATATTGGAAACATGCAGATAACCAGACATACCATGTTAGTGAAAACCTTACTCTCCTGGCTACCATGAATCTTCCAGTTTGCTAGACCCAACTTATACCTAAGCCAGTTAAATTAGCAAAGGCTACTTGGTAAAAATTCCTTCTGGGTATTCTAACCAGACCAAATGCAAGTACAAACCTGATCAACTAAAACAGCTTCCTATCCACTGGATCATCAACCACTGAACTTTCCTCGTCTCTTCGAACCTAAACCTACATCTAAGGTGGGTGATATATAAAGAGGAAAGCAGCAAGTAAAGGGAATTGAAAATGGTATCACACCCAAAAAAAAAAAAAAAAAAAATCCTCAAAGTTTGCAGATCTCCTCTTTGTTCTTATTTCCTTCGCTTATTTATTTCTTATCTCCCTTGTCTTTGCAAGTTTCCGACTGAAACTTTCTGAGACCATAAAAACACCTGATACTTGTTATTTGTCGCAAGTTTGATTCTTAGGTGCCCGTTTCAGATTGTATCCTGCAAAAATCGATCTGATATTCCCAACAGGTATCAGTTTTGGCTGACTTTCGAAACCTTGATCAATGATATCACATCTCAGTGAAAAAGTTCAGTAATATTTTTTGCATCCACTTTGTGGTGGTGAATGCCCATCGAAGATTGCTCGAAGAACCACATATTGTTCTTTACATTAGTTGTCGTGTACAGTGGAAAAATAAAAATGAGGATACAGTTGCAAAGCTCAGGCGACCTAATCTGATAATCAACAAGGTTAACTTTTTTTAATAGAGAAGAATGACAAGATATAACCAAAATGAGTATTAGTGCATGCCTATAGCACCATGCAATAGCACACTCAAAACCAATTTATCTCTAGTAATGGTGAAAAAAATAAAGTGAATGACGAATGTATTTGTAAAAGTAGAAATGCATAACATATAGATAAATAATGCACAAAGGCCTACCTCCAGATTGAATTTATGACGAATAGCTGTGCGGCTTGGATATGAGAACCATGGTGCTATACAATTCCCGCCGACAACAGTGTTACCAAGCATATAAAGACCAGCATAAGGCAAACAGCTGTTTGCAAATGACCCAGGTCCAGATCCAAGCCTCTCAGCGTTACTTCCATAAAGCACACAAGGAGCAAAACCTCCAAGAAGACCTAAAGATTATGGCAATTGTCAATTGAGGGGATAATTTAAAATAACAGGAATAAAATTATTGGACGTGAATAATGATAAAATCAACAGGAAGACTGAGCAAGCAGGATATTATGATGAATATAGAAGCAACCATCCATGAGACCTCACAGGAGGGGGAAAAATAGCAAATCGACTCCTAAAGCTTGCTGCTTAAGTTCTTAATCTACAGACAATAACTGGTGAATTGCATTTCTGATGCATTCCCAAGATGAAGAATTTAAGAAATATTTGGAACAGGCTAAACCGATAAGATTCAAGAGATTTATGTTCTATGGTAAGATATTAATAAATACAATGAACAACAAAAGAAAAGCAGAATAATACAGGGTAAAGTGCAACAAAAATTAAATAGATTCAAGAGATTTATATTTTTCGATAGCTTCCCTGAAAACTCCATTTACAAAATAGCAGTCAAGCATAGAACAGATACGAAGAGTCCAATTCCTAGAGGTAAAAAAAAAAACAAGATGAAGATAGTAAAATTTATTTGCTTATTTGGTGGGTTAGAATTGATTAGATTTTAAAGATAAACAAAATTGATATTTATAAAATTGAAATTTATAAAATTGAAATTTATAAAATTGAAATTTATATATGTGAAATATAGTGCTTCAGAAAAATAATAAGAGATTAAGTTACTTTACTGTAATAAAAAGTAAGATGCCTGCGCTGTAGGAATCTGTACAAGAGGGGTGTCAGATTGCACTTGTTGACGAAAAAGTAATAGACATCTAAATTGGTCTGAGCATATGAACTCAGAAAACTCAAAGTTCATAGATTTCAACTAAATGGTTAAGAGATTTTCTTGTGTCATATTGATGAAAGCTCTCACAAAGGACAACTACAGAGATAGATCCAAAAGCAAACACCAAATAACTAGAGGCCACATGATTATTATATAGAGATCATGTTTCCATTTAACACTTTTTCATTTTGGGTCTATGAAACATTAGTACATCAGGAATTAAGGATATGTAGATTTCAGTTTTTAATAAAGCGGTTCCTTAAAAAAATCATTGAAATTGCTATTGGACCCCCAAATTGTTATAAGTTGTCTCAAAATTACCCCCTCATATCATTGAAATTGCTGTTATGTTCCCCAATTCTTATAAGCTGTTTGAAAGTAATCACTCCAATCAAGAGAACCAGTGTTTGATTGAGATATGACCATCAACTTTTAAAAGGAGGCCGAGGTTTTTCTAAATTTGGGGATTTTTTTCCTAAAAATTTGTTCGAATCTAATCGATTGATCGAATCATCAGATCCAATCACAGGAAATCGAAACATAAAGATCTCAAAAAAAAAAAAACTTACAGACTTCGAGATCGCTGCTGCAGAACTCATCGTTGCGTCCGAGGCAAGCAAAGAGGCTCGAGTCCACTGCTCGCGCCGCCCCCACAACGCTCGCCGACGACGCTGCAGTTGAAAACGCGAAGCCCCTCGCCGTCCACTCGCGGCGCTTCCTTCGAATACGGCTGCGCGGCCTTCGCCGGCGGCGAGCCGCTTGGTGTCGGGGATCGGCATCTTGTCCTGGACGTCGCGGGTTGCTGAGGAGAGGGCTGGATTCTTCCGGATTCGCCATCGTATATCGAACCCGAATCCGAACCCGTTAGAGGAGGAGAAAGGGGAGAAATTTAATTTTAGGGAGAGAAATCGAGAAGCGAGGTTCGAAGAAAAAGAAGAAGGTAAATGAGGTGGCGAAGGCAACGCGGAGGGACCGGGGGTTAGAATTAGTCAATTACGGTTGTGACTTGTGACAGGCTAACATTTGCTTTCCCCAGGAAGAAACTGTCTGATGCAAAAATTTCATTGGCTTTGAAATTTTTTGGGACTTTAAATTTTGTCTAATAAAAAGAAAGCTTTAACGTGAATTGAATGGAATAATTATTAATTGGGATCTATTGAGTCCGTGGTCCAGGGGGTGTTTGGTTCACCTTGAATTATTGGAAACAATGTGTTTTTTTAGGATTTGAAAGAAAAAGTAAATTCTTTGTTATTTTAGGATTCTAAAAGTTGGATTTGTTTCCATTTTTTTTCAAGAAAATGTTTTTTTAAAAGCATCTAAACAGTGATTTTTTTTTGACAGCTCATTTGCTATCTTTTGGCTAGGAAATGGGGTAGAAAGCTTACAACTCATCATTTTCTCTCACAGCTCATCTTATTATTTGGAAATGAAACAAACTTGAGTTTTGGATATGTTTTCCTACTCTTTACTTTATCATTCCATATCAAACACAAGTTTTGGATTCCTTAGATATCCTTAAAAAAAATTAAATTTGGTTTGTTGTCAGGAAATTTATTTCCATAATTTTATGGAAATGAACCAAAAAGCGAGTTGAATGAAGTGATTGTAATTTCGAATGCATAAATCAGAGGCGGATTCGATCTACCATGTGGGAATTAAGTGGGGTTACTTTCCTCTATGTCTCAATCCCCCAAAGACTTCAATCATATCATACTCCTTTTAAAAGCACGAGTTCGGGAAAATCTTTCAGTAGACAAAAATACCCCTAAAAGTTTGAACTATCCTATACTAATCAATTTTTAATTTTTAATACCAATCCATCATTAGCCTAGGAAATTAATAAATTCTTAGTAGATATACATAGTATAAAGATAAGGAAACAAATTGTATATAGATTATATTGGAATTAAGAAATTTAATTACATTCTCATCCTAATCTATGCACTAATATTTACCCACAACTATCTTTACCAATTATTGAATACCTCAATTTCAGATAAATAATTCTCCCCCACCACCTCTAAAAAGAGTTGTCTCCTTTTATGGAATCGAAAGAGTTTTCTCCATTTCTTTGCGGCGGCTGTTTTTTTCTCCTAGGGTTCGAATTTTTGGCTGTCACTCCTGCAATGAATGTATGTTTTCCTTTTTATTTTATTTTTTACTTCTTCTTAGATCTTGATTTATTTTGGGCGTTCTATTCTTGAAATATTTGTGATGGGGTTTGTTGGTTTAGGGTTTTCTTAGAGTTTATGTTTAGATATTCAATCTAAGATGTGGGTTTATGATTTCTATAAAGCGTTTAGATATTCAATCTAAGATGTGGGTTTATGATTTCTATAAAGCTTTTACAGAATTTTTTTACTGATTGTGTATTGATTTGACATTTCTTTTTTGTTTATGATTTCTATAAAGCTTTTACAGAATTTTTTTACTGATTGTGTATTGATTTGACATTTCTTTTTTTCATTTTTTTTATTATATGTCATTTTTTAAATTTGAAAGAGACTTTGCGCGCTAAGTAGAGTTTTTATTAATTTTGTGCTCAAAACAATAAGAAAAAAAAAAGCAAGAGTTTTGATGAGTAGATGATTAGTGTTCTTTTAGGGTTTTTGAATTACAGATACTATTGATTTGTTGCAAAAGCTATCTTTGGTGCCCAAGACCAAAACCCATGATGCTCCTGAGGCCCGAATTAGTTAAATATGTGGTTAAGATTAATATGTTTTTTATAAATTTATTTGTTTCTTAGGTTATATCCTTTCCTAAAATAATAAAAGTATGCAAGTCAAATTGAGATATTACTTGATGTTTTGTCTTTTAGCATGATTTAGCATTCTCTATTGAATGGTGAGAATAAGAAAAATGAAGCTATCCCGCTAATGGACCTGTCAGTAACACTCTTCTGTGTTATGTATCGCCTTACTTATGGAGGTAAAATATGTTGTCTCTTCTTTATTGTATCCTGCAGTTTTTATGATCATATTACAAATTATTTGATGCAATTATTAGATGTCATCTTTAGCCAACAATAGTTAACTCACATAATTTTTTGTTGTGTTAGTTATAATGTTTGGTATATGTTGTTTGTGAAATTTGGACAAGTTTTTAGGTTATGATCCAGCAAGCGAGTATGAGGATTACCCTAAATTTGATGGTCCAGAGATGCAACATCCTGTAAGTTCTATTATAAATCATACTTAACTTTTATCGGTGGTAGTATGCTATTTAGTACTTAGCAATACTGGTATTTGCTAATATATTGTTTTGAACTATAAGTTTTATTTATTTATTGAATCAAAAATTTTGATTGAGCAGTTTACCATATTTGATTCTAATCTATTTCATCGACTCATTCCATGGAATTGGTGGAACTTTGTCCTAAACTGATAATATTTTGTCTAATGTAAAAATTAGTGAATCTGGAGCTGTAAGACTAAAATTAAAGATTGGCAATAATTTACTATAAATATTTATAATGTTTTAGGTTATCATTAAGTAACAAGTAAACAAGGTGTAGTAATGACACAATGCTTGGTGTTTGTTGTCTTTATGAAATGTAAATGAAAAGGTTACCAATTTTGATGTTTGTCAGACCTTTACCTTTAAAGCCCACTAAAAGAACAAAATTTTCATTGATGTGGAGATTAGTGAATTCTATATTTTAGAGCTGAAATGAAAGACTAACTAGGATTTAATATGAATTGGTTTGTGGAGAGGGGTAGGGATATGTTTTTCTTCTACAATTGATGATTAAGGACAATTTTGTCAATACTAAGATTTGGGGGTATTTTTGCAATTATGCATGGTTTAAGAGGTATATATAAAAATAAGCCTTTCTTTTTTAATCTTAACACATACAAAAATTAAAATTTATTATGGTTTTCTTTACCTGCATGATGACAATGTGACTACATACTCTTCAATTGCACATTCTCGCTCGCCTTAGACTTTAGTATCACCACCACTTCTTTGAGATACTTATAGATGAGAGTTTTAGGTTGTTGAACGTTGTCTCTTCTGTAACAACTATGACAGAATGAGCTACAAAGTTATGCATATTGATCCATGGGAACTTTTTGCCTATAACAAAAATCTTTAACTATAGTAATTAAGAATGACAGGAACGTGGCATCTACATATTCATCCAACCAAAAGAAAATAACTTGGTACTAAGAACATTAAAGTAAATAGTAGAGTTAGACTAATATCGCTCATGTTATGTCATTTCCCATTCTATTCAAATATTATTATGATTATTCCACTATCATGCCCTCTTTTAAATTATGAGTTCGGAAAAACTTTCCATAGTCAATATTACCCTTAACTCTTTTGAATATTATATTTTAATCATAATATATCATAATTATCCAATACAAAATTTAAATATCCTATTACCCTTGACTCTTTTTGGATGTTACATTGTAATCTAATCTTAATTAATAATTATATCTTTATTAATAAAATTTATGGTTTCGTTCCTATTGGTTGTTAGCTAATGTTGATAAGGAAATTCAAATGATCTCAGTAAGTTTCTTTACCTAGCTTATTTGATTATAATCCAATTTGTTGTAGAATTAAAATTCTGACTTTATGCAAAGTCTGAAAAACAAAAATGTGTAGCTATATATATCATGGGCTGAGATAGAAATTTGAGATAACTGCAGTAATTTAAAACATAGATCACTCCTCTCTAAATTCTGAACCACAAGATAATTAAATTATATGCTTGATGATATTTGTATTGGCTCTTTGCTTCCTCTTCACTTGAGAGAGATTATATTAGATTTTTTGTAGTGTGATTTGGAATTAGTGATTTGAACCATGAACTACCCGTGTGTATTATCTTGTTTATTTTTTCTTTGTTTTTTGTGTGATTGATATTTGCTTATCAGGGGATTTTTCATAACACATTAAAATCACTAAATTACCAAGCCCATATTTAAAAATGAATCAGCAAAATATTATTTTATTTATTTGATTCGTATTAGGATTATTCAATTTTGACGTTGCAATTTATAACTTACAGTTCAAACTACACACATTAGTCTGTCAATGCCATAAATGTCCTGAACTCAACATATTTTGAAAGTGAAATGAAGACTCTCGAGTCCCGATGATCTTTATATTTAGTAAGAGGCAGAGATTTTTGTAGTAGCATCTCTGTTATGATAGGATTTCATTCTCGGTATGTTCCTTCTCATTAATATCTCATAAGCTATTTTTTTTCTTAAAAATGTATGCCTTTGTTTATTGATCCCCTAAATGCCAAAATATGCATGATAGGATTTGATGTGATCTGTGAAGGACAAAGACAGGTCACAAAGTATTTCAGATCTTGTTACCATATTCTTTTGCCTATGTGATCCTATAAAATGGTTTGAGCATGGAAACATCAACTTAAGCAACTTATTATTTAGTATCAATGTATATGAAATACCTCCTTAGGTACAAATACATATGATACAGTCATATGCACATCCAGCCTCATTCCCTCATTTTAAATTTATTTATTTTTCACTTGCCTTTTTCAAGTCATTTTTTTCCTCTCAAGTTCTCCTATCACTGCTTATATAGTTCATTTTTTCAATATATTTACGAAATCTTGTATCTGCTTTATTTAAATTATATTATTATCGATGAGTCTTAAACGACACAAAATTCCACAAATTGTTATTGATGAGTCTTAACAATAACGTTCGTGGTCTCGAATTAGCATCAGACTTACATCTTGATCCATTGGTAGTCTATGGTGATTCACAACTTGTTATATATCAACTAAATGGAAAATATGCTGTAAAAAAGAAGGAATTAATCCCATATTTTCTAAAGGCCCAGGAGTTAATCCATCAATTTCAAGAAATTCAAATTGAACATGTCCCCAGGTCTTATAATCATAGAGCGGATGCTCTAGCAAGTCTTGCGGCTTCATTGGCTATCTTTCTGAACACTACCCTCTAAATAAACCTCCTTAGGTACAAATACATATGATACAGTCATATGCACATCCAGCC